GAGAAGATTTGATGAAATAAGTTAAAGTCTAAGAGTTAAGTAAAAATATCACAATATAATCTTTTTTTATAGCAATTTAGTGCTTTTTGACACGCTATGGCAAACTCTTGCAAAAAAACAGAAAATTATATCATTTTCGGTCTAATTCTGAATTTTTTTTGGCCTGTTTTTAACAAAATTTTGCGAAACAATCGCAAATCGACTGAAGTACACGAGCTTGTTTCGTCCGAGATTTAAAAACGCCGGATTTAATCATTGCTAAAAAACATAACCTCATTTTTTATTTTGCCTAATTGGCAGTCACTTACTTTTAAGTAAAAAACACAGGCAAAAGTGGTTTTATTCCGATTGTGTCACAAATTGAAATATTTTATTATTTAAGTCTTATTTCTTGTCTGCTTTGGAACCTTGAAACTTAACCTCACTTTTTGCGGGATAATAAAACATGGGCTAACAGGAGTGCTTGCCTTTATTGTGCATAATCAAATAACAAAAGTTACCACAATTAATTAAAACATTATAAAAGAAATTTACAGCTCCAATCTCAATATTAATAAATATGAATGTTTGGCGTAAATGCGTTATAAATTACGTTAACAAGACCTGAAAGAATGAATGAACTTAGAGTAATAATTAATCTAAACAGTACGCAGAATAATATGCACTCCCGAGTCGGTAAAAACGGGTTCTGACAATTCCCCAACTTTGAGTGCAAAAGACGCTTCTTCAAAAGGCTTCTGCATAGCCCCCCTTTTGAACGACCCAAGATCGCCCCCTCGTTTAGCCGATGAGCAATCCGAGTACTTTGACGCTAAATCAGCAAATGAGGCCTTCCCCTGGACTATTTGTTCCCGATAAGCTACAAAAATCAAACTGATTTCGAGTTTTTGTCAAAATTGACTCACATTTGACTAAATCCAAGGCTTCATCCTTAGTTCTTGTGATATTCTCCTCTCTCCAGGACGATGGTCTTCGAGAGTCTTTGTGTTTGACAAGTAAATGTGAGCATTGGACTTGTTCGGGGCCACTTGAAGACACTGGTTCTGCAGGTTTATCGGGGACATCCCATTGGGACTCTTTGGTGTAAACATTCAAGTAGTAATGTTGGCCTAAAATACAGTTAACCTAACCGGTGTTAAAATAGGTTAAAACTAACCGGTTGACCGACTTAACCGCTTTTCCCACCCAGCAGGCAATTGTTCGTCCGCCATTTTCCCGGAATGCGTGTTTATTTATCGGCTAACTTCACTCAAATAACTCGAATCGGGGTTTTTCGCCAATCATCGACTTTTACTCGTTGGTGATTGGCTGGTTTTGTTGCTGGCGGAAAAATGCACCAATCACAAGCACAGCCACGTGTAAATGATCGTTTTTGTTAAACGTGATGTTAGCCACATTTAATTTTGTAATCAGCTGGGTGGTGACAGTTCGATTTTGGACATTTGCGTGGTTAGATATCGACGCGTGCGACGCTCGACACGTATGTTTTTATTTATTCTTAGTTTTTGATTTTGTGAGAGGACTGAAGGATTATTCTGGTGACGAAACTGTAAAAGTTTGGGGTTTTTTGTTACGAATTCGGCAAGTGGTTGGTGGTGGTGGTGGTGAAAGTGTGGGTGTTCTTTTATGGGAAACAAAAACATATTTTAGGTTTTTGGGATCGTTTCAGGTGAGTTTTTGTATATCGTGTAATTGCCCTCGATTATATCTAGGTCATTACATTATTAAATATATTCAATTGGTGAAATTGAATTATTCGTTTTAACGCCTACTAGTTTTTTATCATTAGTGAAGAAGCGAAATTTCAACTAAAGTCAGTTTCTTGTAAAATAAACAAAAACACCTGTTGAAAATGAGACAGGTGAAGTAAGAGCTGCGTTACCTGCTTGAGTGAGTCATCGCATTGTGTTCACGTTTTTATTTTTTTATTTTATTAAAAAAAAGTGGTTATAAATGATTTTCATCTAGCCAGCTGTGAATTTTCAATGTAAAATAAAAAATGCCGCTTTACGAAAATAGGGGTACCTACTTGTTTTAACTCAAAATTAAAAAATCGCCCACTTATAAACTTGTTTTCTTCCAAAGTATACATTATTATCAATGGAAACTAGTTGAAACAATAAAAGTTTAATTAACAATTTATTATTAATTAATAAGTGACACTAATGACAGAACTAGAGCTTTCAAAAAAGTAGAGCGGCACAAATAAAGTTACATGCAAAAAAATTCCAAAGCTGGCTAGATGAAAATCATTTATGTGTACCTAATTTGTGCCAAGTTATCTTCGATTCCTCTTATTTGGCAATTTTTAACTCGAAATTTTTGATCCGATATGATTTATTATCATTTTATCATTGTTTATTTTGTTGGCGAAAAATTAAATTGTTGATTTGATAGGATTTAATTCAAAGTAATGGTTGAATAACAAGACACAATTATTTCTTGTACAATTGCGGACACGGAATTTTGGACATTGTCAATGTAAACCACGCTTTATGATTGATTTTTGAAACTAATAAAATTTGAAAGTTGTAATTTATTTTTGGCGTCGATTTTCCGATACAAATAATGCTAGCTTTCCATCAGTACATTTTTTAATATATGTAGTTCACTAGATTATTTTGATTTGCTGTATTTTTTCTCTAGTTGTCAGAATAAAAATTACAAAAATCGCAAGTGAGGTTAGTTGCTAGTTTTACATTTTTATGTCAATCGTATGAGAAATTGTCCAAATTTCCGTGTCTGGAACTGTACTCTGAAATTCTTTTTTTACATACTTTAATTTTATTGATTTTATAAACTGTAGGTATACAAATTTTACATTGTTAGGAATTCCTACATTAAAACTGTTATTAGGCTGCGTTTTAAGGTTTGTTAAACTCATTCTATTTACTTTTTTTCAATTTATAAAAGATTTTTTTATACAGGATGACTTATAAATTTATAATATAAAAAAATGCTGACTTTCCTTTAAACAATAATTGACACACTTAATTCAGGAAATCTGATTAAAAATGAATGAAAACAGAATTAAGATTTTCTAAATTTAAAAATTTAGAGAGCAAAATGGAAAAAATATTGTAAAACACTCTTGTAGCTCGTGTTGGAATTTCAATATCTTGCTTAAGGTTGAACTATACTGAATAAAAAAATAAATCGTCGTTGAAAAATTACGAAAACAATATCATAACTAACATAAATTAAAAAACACTAATTTTGTCCGTTTATTTTTCTTTATAAAAAATGTGTTTAAGAATTTTTTGATTTGTTTTGTCGATAACCTACTTATGTTACTGTATTTTTTTCATGCAATTTGAGCGATTCGTTAAAATAGGTATTTATTATACAAGGCGATAAAGAAAAATCTACGAGTGAAAAGGTTCACGAGAATTTCTTGTACAAAATAAAGAAAAAAAAACAGTAAACAGTAGATAAAAATCACTTTATTTCACTAGACGCTTAAAGACTACTTTATCTACGGAAATTAGTTGATAAAAGCACTCTTTAACATTGAGTAGAAAATAAATGATTTATTAATAATGATCATAGGGTTATTGTTTTTATCCCAGTTGGTCTATATTTTTTTCCTTTTTTGTTATTTTATTTGTTAGTATGAAATTTTATGTTAACAAAGGTTGTTGTCGAGGTCGACGTCTTCATTGTTGTTGGTTACGGTTGTAGGCTTCTGTAAATTTGTGGGTGTAGGTTTTTTTTGCTATACATTATTATTATAGGTTTGTTGTTGAGTGCATATTTAAGTATATTTCTTCTTTCTCCGTTTTTGCTTTTGCACATTTGTGTAAAATTTCTACGACTAGAAAAAATCGAAAATTCTATTTTTTTGATACAATCTTCTAATGAACGAAATAATTAACTTGTTAACTCGTAGTTGAATAATTTTTTTTTCAATTCACAACTTTAAACATTTTTGACGTTTTAAATTTTACAAATTATGCAATTTTCAGTCTTGTAGGTTATAAAACAGATTTTTTTTTTCTATAACTAAGAAATGTAAATTTTCTTTTTATAAGCGAGAACCGAATGAATTTCTCACAGTCTGTGGACTTTAATTTGAATCAATGAATTCTCGATTGCATTACGGAAATTACTACACCGATAGGTGCGGATTTCATGCACATAATAATTATTCTTGAGCAAACGTTACCTGTTATGTACAGTTCGTACGTCCATTATTTATGGCAGGATTAGTTAAATTTGGTTATTTATCTTTAGTTAAACTTACTGTACATTAAGCACGTATCTGCAACGTTAAGTGGAATTTATGTACGATTTTAATCAATTAATTTAATCAAAAAAGTTTCTATACAGGAGGTTCGGTCAAAGTCGCCCCGGCCGATAACACCTAAACTAATTTTTTTTTTCAAAAAGTAATTTTTCAAATAATACTATTCATTCCTCGATTTCTTAGTAAATGCATCAAATTTTTTTGGCACATCCGGAGTAGCCGGAAATGCTACCAAATTTAGTTTTTCAAATGGAACACCTATGTTTTTCTGCGCGAAACAATAATAATTGGCATGAAAAATACGGTAAACCACTATTTTACTTTACATAATGCACTCAGAAAACAATTTAAATTTTTGATTTTTATTGCAAATTTTGCAACGTTGTCCGATTTTACTTGTCAAGGTACAAAAAGCAATATGCTGGAATATCGTTTAATTGTTAGTTTGACAAAGCCTAAATCTTATTGAGATCTTTAATAATGGATGATATTAATTACGACGAATTGGTAGTTTTAAGTGCAATAAAAATAGAGCGGAAGCTGAAAGACAGGATAGAGAAAAAAACTCAAATAGAGTTTACTTAAATCGTTGGAAATTTAGTCGAATTGAAAAACAACTGAGACGAATAGGTTCGCTTCTTAAAATTAAAAAACTTGGGGTTCTTTGTGAAGAACAAGAAAATAGAAATCTGAATGTTATGTTATCAGTCGAAGAAAATCCAAGAATTTCCATAAGAGACCAATTTCCTTATAAAATTCTAAGATTTAAGATGTTTTTTGATTGCATTGTGTTACGCAAAATAAATAGTGGTTTACAGTATTTTTCATGTCAATTATTGTTTGGAGGAAAAAAAAAATATAGGTTCCATTTGAAAAACTAAAAATTTGATACATTTATTAAGAAAGCCAAGAAAGAATATTATTACTTAAATATTTACTTTTTGAAAAAAAGAAGTAAGTTTAGGTGTTATCAGCCGGGGCGACTTGAACCGAACAACCTGTATATATATTTTCGTTATATATATATGTTGTATATATATGTTTCGTCTAAATCCCACATTAAAAGTGTTAGGAGTTCGAATAATCATATTTGTTTGAAAATTGGTACATAGCCATAATGCATTAAGTCCTCCTAAATGAAAATATTTTCAAGATGGCGGCACTTCCGGTTATACCGGAAGTCGGTCTTAACTTTCTTATTTTAAATGGAAAGTTATATTTTTTACTGCGTTTTTAGATTAATCGGGTTATTTTACGGGAGTTTTCATCAGCTTTTCCTGTACCTAAATTTAGGCGTTTTTGAAATATTTGGAGTTTTTCAAAAATTTTTGGATCTGCACCTTCCACTTTAAAAATCAGTAACTCTGCTATTTTTTAAAATTTTGAATTCGTTTTTTTGCCGTTTGAAAAAGAAAGTTTAGATCTTTCTTCCGGTGTTTTCAAATTTTGAAAAAAAATTAACAAACCATAAAATTTTAAGGTTACTCTTGTAATAATGAAAATACCCATAACTCAATTTTTTCAAATGAAATGCCCCAATTTTTATTTCACTAAATGGAAGAGAATTTAATTCTGCATCGATCTGTATTAACATTCCCTATACCTAAATTTAATAATTTTAGTTATGGTGACTTTTTGTTAAGACTGCCGAAAATCTATTACTAGCCACATCCGTTTTCACAAAGTTTGCCATGGAAATAAAAAATGTCAAAATTGTGTCTCAATAAACATCGACAGTGACTTATTATTTAACAAATAGTGCCAAAATATGGAGAGTCAAAGCTACTCAAACTTAGATTTAATTAGTTTATTTTGTATTTATGGAAAGTGTAAGAAAATTATGATGTCGTTCATTAAACAAAAATAATTTTTGCTTACTTGTTAGCTTTAAATAATGATCGCATGGTAGAATCTATCAATAATAATTAAGTTTGCATAACTTTGATTCTCCATATTTTGGCTCTATTTGTCAAATAATAAGTCACTGTCGACGTTTATTGAGAAACAATTTTGACATTTTTGATTTCCATAGCAAACTATGTGAAAACGGGTGTGGCTA